ACATTCTACGACGCTGCACAAAGATTGTCACAGATTATTTGTCTTTTTAGTATTTAAATGTCCATCGTTTCTTTCACTACTTGAAACAATGAAAGTTTTAATTCAACTGTTTTACTTTCGTTCAAATGTTTACTATAAATGAAGCAAACCCTCGACATTTTTAAAATGTATCTAGTTTCACAGTATATTGCAAACAGATCGAAAAATAATAACAACGGACACGTAATATACGTACACACGTAGTCACGTCAAGGAAATGCACAACACTAAACTGCATACATATCGAACGAATTAATGAGATTACGGGAAAAATAATTATAAGACTTAGAAAATAATAATTGCGACAGTCAGTCGCCGCGTCACTTCGTCAGTAACCTCGTCGCGTTCTTATCGCCGTCCTTTGGACGAGCACCGAAAACTCTTATTCAACATTTCGCTGTAAATTCCGACTTGCCTGTACTAAGACTTATACTCAATACGCTGACATCGTACTACCAATAGAATAATATACGATATCGTAAATTAATTGTTACATGTACCCCTCGTCAATTTGAATTATTACATTTACAGTGCATTTTTTAGCCTAGTAAACTAAACGACACAAATGTTGCCCAGTGAAAATATTTTTTCGCTTACGATTTTGCTTAAGTATTCGCTTCTGATATTCACAGTTTTGATGTACTTGTTTTGAAATGTCGTAACAGGCTTTGGAAATTCTACTACAACGACGTTACAAAAATAAAATTAAAAATTATAAAAAAATTATTATCGTAAATGTCTTTGTTCTTTCTTCGTATTTTTCGGTTTTGTTCAATTGTTAATAAAATTCCAGAGGGAATAAATGAACGAATTTCTGTCTCATCAACTAGATTAAAAATTCAATAAAAAAGATTTCTTGTCGTTTTTCTATTGGATCAATATTTCTGATAGAAAATATTGCGAATAAAAATTTAAAACAATGAAAACGGTATCGCCGGGGCACGGCGTGCTTAAATATTTGCCGTTTTACCCATAATTTTCTTTCGGGTTTTCCCTAACTATTTCGAAAATTCCTTGGAAATCAAATGAACTCTTTATGCGTACCAACAAAATAAAATTACTTTACAGTAAAAGTGCTACACTCTATACATCGGAACAAGATTTCTTTTCGAAAAGTTCTTTACAAAAAAAAAAAAAAAACCAGCACACATCATAGTAAAACCTTAGATCCCTCTTTACGGTCAGAATCGTATACTTATATTGTATACACACGCGGCTGGACTAGAACGGAGGATGTTGGTGTGTTTATAATATAATATAAAGGACGGAAAAAATCGAATATCATTCTATACATCTATAGATATGTATTTGGCTTTATCGTAGATTCGCATGTACGAGAAGGCACCTGCGAGGGTTTTTATTTTTCGTTGTGGTTTATTTTTTTATTTTATTTTTTTGTTTACCTGTTGCCAAGTATTTTTCATCGGTCTTGAAACAACAAGTGGATATCGTCATCGTCGGGGGTATCGCGACTGCCAAACCACTCGATAGGAATACTGAGGACGTGAGTATAAACCTGTGCGTGAAATACCATAATAATTTTTCTGTATAGAAATTCCTTTTATTGGTATTTTTTTTACATCGACAACGTCAAATCTCAGTCACCGTATGGCCGTACCGAAAGTTGACACAAAAATATTATCGAATAGTCGTTTTAAGAGAACGCCACATCTGAATGTGCTGTCTCCGTCTTACAAACACACACGCGACATAGCAAAATTTTGCATTCAATATGACTAATTCCATGCTGTTAATTTTAATGTTAAAGTGAATGTATATTGTTAAACATAAATGTAAGAACTTTCTCGTTACAGATGTGGCGTTCTCTTAAGTTGAAAATACGATTTATTTTCATTAATTTTAGTTCGTAGCATTTTGAATCGGACTACACAGTCAAAAACTCAGTACTTTCAACAGATAGCATCGAAACGTTTAATTTTAGAAAAACAAAACGCTGTTTTCGTTAATCGTTATTATCTATTGATTTTATGTTTCAGTTATAAGAAGTAATTATTTTGATAATGTACTCAAAACGTGTATACCAGACAATTTCTATAGGCACGGTAATAATATAATTAAATTGTCAAGTCTTATAAATAATGTTATTGACCGTAAATCAGGGGTGTCCAACCTTTTGTGAATACTGGGCCACATCATGTAGGTAGAAGTTGTTGTGGGCCACATACTTTTTTAAATAATAATATATTCTAATTTAATGATTAAATTATAATCTATACTACAACAATACATTTTTTTTTATAATTTTACATTAGCGAATAATAAGCAGAAATATTTTTACAAGTATTGATATTTAATAATTTAATTATAAGTACACAGAAAAATATATTTATTTATAATAAAAAAAGTTTTTGTAACGGTTAGNAATTATTAGGTATTTTATTTTTATTTTTTGATAAATGACACAGAATATTGGTATCGGAGCCAATAAAGATAAAACACTAATAATGTTTATCTTTAGGTCCGATGCACACGTCCGTATGTAATATAAGATAAGATGCCGCAACGGTAAAAACACGGAGGTTATTTGATGGTTTATATTTTTAAAATAAATTTATTCTCGTAATATTAATATATTATATATAATTAATTCATGGTTTTTAAATTGAAGTGAGGGCCGCATTGAAATCTACCGCGGGCCGCGGGTTGTACACCCCTGCCGTAAATTATACAATATTATTTCACTTGCCTATACCGAAAACGTCGCGTACATCAAAAGAATGACGAATACTTTGTTTTCCCGTTTTCGAACGTCCACCGGGCGTTTTACTGTCGTTTAAATATTTAAAAGACAAATCGGAATAGCGCGTAGTGGACGGAGTGGCGTAATCGTCCGCGACGCCCAACAATAGTTTGGCCATCGACGTCACCGCGTCCTTGTAGTTTTCCTCAAACCTTCAGAAAATATCATTATTATCATTATCTTTGCAGTATTCGTATTACGCATATGCATCAAAGTTTCATTTTCGATAAACGCGTCAAACAAGCCGTGGCGTGTTGACAAAAGAAAGTTCCGGACGATTACATCATATACATGCCGCCAGTTGTGCGCAGTAACTAGAAGTTCAAAACGAAGCGTATTGTTACGATTTTCTTGTATAGGTAGGTATAAAAAAAAAAAAGTCTTTATCGATCTTCTTCTTCTTGATATTCCTTCATTGACATTTTAATTTTGCGAGTTTTTTACGTAATTTTCATCTGGTAGGTATTCTGAAAATAAAATTGTTAGACTAAACAGAAATGCTTGAAAATTTAACAGGAGGTTCATTATAAGTCGTAATTAATGGTAAACATAATTGAGTATGATGTAGTATTTTTTATATTTTATAACAGTTTTAAAATCAAATATTGACGAAAATCGTAAAACACGTTTAACCGAACTTCGCTCCGAATCGTTCTTCGTTAGCAACGGTTTATCGTTGGTTACAGTTATAATTTAAATAAATTTATGTATTCCACCTTCTCGACTACCCACCTATATATAACAGTGGCCACACCCCTTCCCAGTATCGGTTCTTTTTTTCTTTTAAGCAATGAAAAAAAAAAAATTTAATTTTGAAAACTTCTGGTCACCGGGTTTACCGTTGCCCGGTAGGCCACTCCGCTCCTGTCGATAGTGCTATTTTTCGACGTCAGTGCGTCACCATTCTCAGTCACTACACTTTTTATATTTCGTTATGAAATTATATATTTGTAAGTACCTATTATTATTTGTGAACACACGATATAATATACATGAAATTTATATGAGTGTAAATGTGAGGAGTGAATTATCGTATACAACATTACCTACGTATGTAATTCCAGCTATTTTATATTATTTGGTAGACCAATTTAATGATTGCATTGCAAAAATGATAAAAAATGTGTAGGTACCTATTATTAAAAGTTTGATATTAGTTACAAACCGATAAAACAAATATGTCGTATTGAAAACTGTTCTTTTTAGGAATAACCCTATTAAAACAGCCATTTTAGGGCCACCAAATTTATAAATTCCTTACAAAATAAAAAAAAAAAATCCACGATGTCAATGAAAATTGGTCGGAAAGTAGGAAAATCGAAAATCTGATCAATGGAGGTTTTTCAAGAACGGTATACAAAAAAAAAAAAATTTAGACGTTTATCGATATTTTAACATTTTTTTCTCAGCCCCAAAAGCCATACTTCAACCCATGATTGGGATAATGTTTTATTTATACGTAGATTATAGGTTACATTGAATGTTAAATTAAAAATGCGTTCAGAGTTATTGATGAGGAGGTGTGGGGGTGTAGTCCTCTACGGGCCACGGCTTTGGTTTATGAGAAAAATCGTAGTCTAATAATTCTAATAATAACAATAATAAAACACACATAATAAATATTAAAAAATAATTCCTTTTGGCGTCTTGACACTCTTGAAATATTATTTATTATAATAATATATTGTATTCAAATTTCAATACTATTTATAACTTTAAACTTATTAGAAAAGTATCTTATTGTTTATTTAGGCCCAGTATTATTTAAGAAATACAAATAAATAGGCAGCTTACTCTATTCAAATATCGTCATTTAGCCACTTCATAATAAACGCTTCAACAACGTGAATATGAATTGTCTGTTTAAAGATCTTTTTAATTAGGTGGGTAACATAATTTAAAAAAAATAAATGTACATCATATACATTAATTTCCTACTCTGAATACTCTTTACGTTTACAAAATAAGAGCGTTAAAACGTTATTATAATAATATTTTTTTTAATATACAAAATTCATCAATTATTAGGTATAATATTCCACACAGTTTGCATAACACATTTCGTTACTATTTTCGTGGCAAAATATTAATGACACAGTGCATTGTCATAATAATTATTGGCATATAGTTGCCAATTAACTGAACACACGGTTCTGTTATAAAATCGTATTTCGCGAAACATACAATGTGCAAGTGCGCAAGTACGCGTCGGTTTTCATACAGTTGACATTTATACATATATTATAATTTTCTTAATGTTCCCCGTTTTCTTAAGTGTGCAGCTGTCATATTATTATAACACTTGAAGATTAACATTTCTCGTCCAATGAACGGAAAATGTTTCTGTTTAATTTCTTTTATTCTTGCGGTAAATTTTTTGTCAAACGCAAGAGGAAAATATGTCTATGGTCAGTTTATATGTTGATATGTTTTATTTATACTGCTTTGAATTTGTATAGTATAGGCAGCGTAATATATAATACTTACATGCTGTTTGTTCCATATTGTGTAAATGTCGTTTATATATATAAAAAAAAAACTAAATTTGATATATTATTATTTGTCTATTACAAATATGTGTACTAATAATTTATCATTTTAAATATTAATACATATTATGTATTATAAAAAATATGCGGCCGTTAATATAATCTTTAAAAATTGTTCCTTAAATGTATAAAAAAACTGAGTATTTTTCTTGAATTTAAGTTTCTATCGTTTTATTTTGGAAATTATCGCTTTTTTTTTTTCATAAATTTGTATTACGCTACAAATACATAATAATATATCCTCAATTTGAAAAAATGTTGAACATTTTGTCTTCGATTACAATTTTTCAGTATGTTTTTTGGTAAATTAATGAACATTTTATAATATTTAGATTGACATATTACAGTGAAACCTCTAAATAGCGGACACTCTTGGTCACCAACATTTTGTCCGTTATTCGGAGGTGTCCGTTATTCAGAGGGGATAAATTTTTGAAATTTATTTGTATAATAATGTACTATGTACGTACATACATACATATATGTAATATTATTACTTATTATTTATTGAAAATTATTACATTTTTATATTTTTACAAATTACATATTTTAATTATTAATTACATATTATTATTTAAAGTATATTTTTATACAATATCCGCGATCTGTGTTTTTCCAACTTGAAACTTTTCTGCGAGTGCACGAATTCCTACGTTTCCGTTATTTTTACGGTAATCTAAAATGTCAACTTTTTCACTAAGTGACAACCGCTTTCGTTTTAACGTAGTCATCGCCTTGAAAACCGTCACTAACTGACATACGTCCCATAACGAGTTTGTTATCGTAATTATTACGATTATACATTATTACGAGAGTGCATACGAATGTGAATACGTATTATTTTCAAATAATGATTAGGGATTTACCATTATTTTAAAAATTCCCTAATAAAATAATATATAAATTTATAATTATAAAATTTTGTAAATAAAATAATGTCCGTTATTCGGAGAGTCCGCTATTCGGAGGTTTTCCTATTGAAAAGTAGTGAAAATGTCCCCGTTCCTCAAAAAACGTCCGCTATTGGGAGGTGTCCGCTATTGGGAGGTGTCCGTTAGTGGATGTTTCACTGTATATGCAAATTTACAACGTTTTTAAAATACAATTTTTCGAAGAATTTTTGTCTTTTAACCAGTTATTAATATTTCAGGTGCTATCCAATTTAGTCCGTTTGACGGTTACACGGATCCAAAAATATTGGAAAACATTGTCGCAGCACAGTTAAGAGCTCAATATTCAAATATGTATGGTGTAGGCGTTTATGAATATCAATGCCCGTTAGGTGGGATTTTCGGAGGATTACGGAATTTATTTTGGAATACAGTATCGAGGTTATATCCTATGATAGGATCGGCAACAAACACGGCAGGGAAAAAAATAAACAATTTGATTAGTCATAGTCGCAGACTTCGAAGACGCTTGAGTCGAGCCGCTTCTTATGGATTAAGGGGATTGAATACAAAATCGGTGGAAGCAGAAGAGAGTGATGAAGTGGATAACAGTGACGAAGATCCCGAAGACGTTAAGGAGGATAAGAAAAAAGGCAGTCGTAAAAAGAAGCAAAGCTCCGAAGAACCTTCCGATGAAAACAGCGACGAAGATAACGAAGATGATGGAAAAAAAAACAAAAAGGATCCAAAAAAGGGTAAACAGCAAAAACCGTCGAAAAAAGAGGAAAATTTAGATGACTTATTTAAATAGGGTAAATTTTAAATGACACACTATTATACAATTTCGAAACATGCATTTTTAAAATAAACGATGAATTTAACAATGAAAATATCCATGGTTTTATCATCGTATAATATTAATATTATTTAGCAAAGCAACAATATATCAGGGCGGTAGATAATAATTTCAAGTGTCCTAGCATCATTATTCTTCCGAAAAGAACGTGAATAATTTTGATAGCGGTAATTATTACAGGAAGCTGACGGCTTTGCGGGGGGTTTAATTTTCGTCTTTCGAATATTTATAAGGGATTTGAAAAGTTAAGTAGGTACACCGGAAAAGGGTTCAACAGTACACTGAAATAAATCATAAATATTTCGACTGATGAAAATGTATTACACTTAACAGAGGCGGCATGTTAGAAATAAGAATTTTGCAATTTTATTGTTTCCCGGTTAACTGCAGTTTTAAAATAATATGAATTTGTTGATTTGTTCGTTTGTCTCTCCGCCAGTTTTCAATGCATTTAAAATTCTACTATCAACTGATTTTATTTAACACACTTAACTAAAAAAATTAAACTATTTATTTTGAATATTATGCTTTATTTTGTAATAAATTTGATAGAAAAAAAAAAAATGTCATTTTATATTCTGAGTAGAATGGAGCAATGTATTGGTTCTACAATGATGTTTATTTAATTTTTTTTTTTTTATTTGAACACTTTATACGAGAAAGCATACTCCGATAATCAAGTATAGCACTTTTTCTGAAAGGAAATGTTCTTTGGGTGGTATTTTAAATAGGGCATTTTTTAAAATTGTCATTAATATTCGAGATAATGAGGAAAATCTTGGTCTTTAAGTTAAAAAAGATTGAAAGATTAAAAATAAGGTTGTCATTGGCAATCATTTTTATTTATTTTTTTGTTATTATTAAGTTTTTATTATTTTAATCTTTTTTAAACAATTATTGTTGTCATGAAAACGCACATTGTTGTGATCATTTTACCATAATATGACATATACCATATATTGTATTGTTGATAAAGCAACACTATCAACTGAACTCCGCTCAGAATCGTTTATTCGTTAGCAATGGTTTATCGTTGCTTACTAATGTACATTAAATTCCCGTCTGTACCCTAATTTTCCAACTTCCCATCTCTAACAATCGCTGCACTCACGTGCAAAGTATGTCTATCCTTTTTTAAAGTTTACAATCTCTAAAAAAAAGAATATAAACGTTAGAATCGAGCATACAGTTAGAATTGTTTTTTTGGATTGGGAAAATGTGGAGATGTGAATAATCAGGAGTGTGCATGAAAAAATTCTAATTTACCCGTTTAAATTAGTTTTCTGACACGCCCCCGATAATTATGTACCTGTATATTGAATTACTCACGAATATATCGCGGGTACCTGCGGACAAAGGTTCGTAAATGTTACGAGTAAAAAAAAAATGAGTTTTTTCTTTTTTACTTTCCGCGAAATATTAATTTAAAATTTTATTATTCGATGTAATAAATTTCAGAATATAAAATAATTATATCGCGTGTCGTCACTTATCGGAGAATATACTATGGAAATCACATTTATCGAATAATTGCTTTTGAAATCGGAAACGTTTGTACCTAATTATAATTATATTTATTATGTTAGTTTTGTGTTCGCAAAAATAACCGGAGGGCGTGTGTGAATATAAACGGCGAAAAAAAAAATTAAAATACGTTGTTTCCAGTGTTGTGCCTGTAAAATATTATAGAGATAAATTTGTAAAACAATATAAACAACGATAAGAGATAATAATTGTTGTTATTAGCAATATTATATTATGACGTTTCGAGATGAAGATAAAATGTATACATCATGTGTGACACTAATTTAATTATACAGTTAATTATACAAACGGAAAAATTTTGCAAATTTTTATGTATAAGGTGTCGTATAGAGATCCAACCAACAGTGTAACTTTTCTTTTGTTCAGTATTATGACGTTTAATTTTCTGTTTTTGTCATAATAATATTACTGTAGAGCCTACTATATTTTATACAAACCGTAGTAAAACCCATAGTTTCCTCACTACACGCCCAGAATCAGCTAAAACTTAAAAACATCAGACATAAAAGTTAACCTAACCCCAATGTATTTGTTAGATCGTCGTATAGGCAAAACAGAGGAAACACATTTTATTTTTTCAATGTCCGTCATAAAATTAAACGAAAACCAAGCGATAAAAGTGTTCCGGATAATATGGGACACACGTTTAGATTTTAAAAAGGTTTTGAATGATTGATGTTACTGAATAATAGAATATGTTTAAAATACAATATAATAGTCATGTGAATTGAATATCAAACCTAATATTTCTGACAGTGGCGGCCAAATGATTTTACCACAGGGATAATTTTTTAACTACCTATACGGCCATACTATAGTCTAAATATTTTTTTTGTTTATAAATTAATATTGAAGGGAAACAAGTTTATAGGGGATACATCCTTTTCGTCTCCCTATTTGACCGCCCCTGATTTCTGATAAATATATTAATTGAAAATTAAATAGATTTATCTATATAAATTTATCCAGATGATTTAATTTTTTTTCTCGGATAACTTATTTCCCATTTATCTGGATAACATACGTATCTAGATAAAACCCAACGCTATGGTTATTTCCAAGGACAGTATAGTTTTTTGCAGGCTTTACATGAATTTAATTATAGCGTTTATTTTTCTTCTATATTTGTTTTTAATTTAAAGCTCGGTGTACACATGCACGTGAGATACGCAGAGTTGTTGACCTTTTGTAAAGTATTCTTAGCGTAGGTGTTCGTTTATAGTATTTGTAGTTTGTACAGGGTTATTTTTTTTTATTATGTCCTAACGAATATCCATGAAGATTTTGAGTAATATGAATTTTTTTTTTCAGTAATTATCGTAACGTTATGATCTTATTTATAATATTTCAAAATGTATTTGTTCATAAACACAAACATTTTTTAATTTTCAAACCAATCTGGCCAAATCAATTTTATCCACATAAAACCAAAAAAAAAAAAAAAACTAAAAAAAACTTGAAAATATCAAATGCCTATAAATAAATTAAGAATCACTAGGATATTTTAAACATTTCACCACATAGACCAATATAAGTATTCTATATTGAATATTTTATTATATCAGGTCTATACTGTTGTTTTTTACATAATTAGAACAAAAAAAAAAAAAATCGGTAAATAATGAACCACCATTATTTTCGTAAACTTCAGGTTTTTCCTACGAATTTTCCAGTTATGAAAAAAATAAATACAAAAAATAACCTCCTTATGCACAACTACACTCTAGACAAAAATTATTTTCAGAAAAGATACAACATATGAATTTCGAAGCAAGATGTTTGGAAGAAAAACAATGACATTTTTGTTGCCGTAAATTTGCCTGGTTTTCCTATACTATCAGACTAATTCGTAAAAGTTCTAACTTCAAAAATGCGATTTTCTGTTTACGTTATTTTTGAATAAATTAACGTTAACGCATCATTTAAATGCACGGCGACTCAAAAATAATAATTTATTCTGCCATAATAGTAATGATAAACATTATGACAAGACATTAAGATAAACATAGAGAATAATCCGGTTTTCATCTCTTCTGAACATTTGCCCTTTTTGGAGTTCGAACTTTTACGAATCAGTCTGATAATATACGATATCAATTTTTCTCTATTTTTTTAAAACAGCAATACATTCCTTGTTGTCTTCAGAATCTAAAACACACACATCATTGTAAAACCGATACATTCGTCGTTGCGTTCGAAATCTTAAAAAATCTTAAACAAAATTTACCTAAAATCCTCCGAGAAAAATCACCCTGTATATTAAATACATTTGACTGATATAAAACGGTTGTAGCGACATGTAATAAAATAGGTGCTGCAGGAAAATGTTACGATCGATCGGTTCGCACAAACGCCGCCTCCGCCGCCGTAAGTATGGTCGGGAAACCGTCGATTCGCAACGGTATTATTAATATTTTCGAAACTTTCCAGTCGACTGCGTAACGTTACACGAAATCATCCGGTCTTCTGGGAAACGCTTTCTCTGGTTCGATTTTTATTCCATAAACATTTTGCTCTGTCATATCACTTTACCGCGCGGACCATCAGGGCCGCGTAGAGAAATCAAGGGCTCCGGGGATAAAATAATCCCTCCCTATATCAATAAATATTGAACTTAAGCGTCGACCTTTAAAATGCGTACAACAGAAATATAGTTTTAGATTGAGGTATAAGCTGCTATTTAAAAACAACAATCACATTGTTACTAATGCATATAATATGGTACAAAGTGATCATTATATTGTTAACGTTTAATTTTTAATATAATATTTATTGATTTTTTAAAATAAAATATTGTGAAATTAACCCATAAAAATGTTTTACATCAATGTAAAAATTTGAGTAAAATATCGGACCCGGTTGCTTCGGTGGTATCCGGGCCACAGCCCCGGCTGCCCCACCCTCATGTCAGGCCTGCGGGCCACCGTCGTTATCGCAATAAAATAATATTACCTGTGCACACTGATCCCACACGGAGATCTGAAAAATAAAATAACATTTTGTTCTGTTTAAAACGAACGAATTTACTGATAAAAATTATCAGCGTATAAGAATGAGCGTGTGAATTCAATATCTATTTCTCTAACATAATATGATGACGGAATTTAAAATTATCATGTATAATGATAATTCCGTCCGTTTCGGCGTATTTATTCGCGTTAAACAGTTCATTACTACGAAAATGACGATAACAACGAAAAATACAACATAACTTAATACCTAATCTACATCTAGGTGTATAAAAATCGGTTAGTGATTGGTCGCGGCGGAGTGTGTGGACAAAAAAAACCATTAAAACACCGAGTTTTGAAATCTGGACCCCTTGGTATCTCAAAGGTATCTCCTTGCATTTATCTCATATGGAGATAAATGCCGGATAAAGTCATAAAAAAACAGTTTTAAAAAAAAAATCCTTTTTTTTTTTTGTTGTTTACTGAAAATTATTATTTTTTTTTTATAATAACGAATGATTCTGCGAATCTCCTGAGGTTCAAAACAACCCCCGCTTTAAACAGCATTAAACATTATTAAAAACGTCACCGCTACGGAGATTCGGAGCACGGAAACGATTGCATAGCAGAGTTCAGCGTGTGTCGGGTACCGTCGGAAATAGTTTTAAAACAACGAAAATCGATTTCGTTAAGAAGCGGGGCGGGCCCGTAAATTGCACCGTTATAGTTTTATCGACATTTTACATTGCGGTAGGTAAAAGTTACATTATGTCTATTGGGAAAATTGAAAAAAATGAATACGAATCTCTAGAGTTTATAATATTTTTACGTTGATAAATTGTCTGTGGACCGAAACTTTTCGAGCGTATTTTTACCGTACCGAATACTCCGTATGCCCGGGGGGCACTGTACTGGGGAATAAAATTACTACACACCCCAACGTTCTCCATTTACTCACAAAACGATTAAATTAAAAGTGGACTGTTTCCCTAATGGTTCGTTGGAAATTGAAAATTTCAAAACCAAAATTAAAACTTCGTCTATGTATGCAATTTTCAATATAGATTGCCGTACGCAAATCATAATGCGATAATGGTTTCATCACCGGAAATAAGGGTGAAAAACTATTGCGGCAATTTATCGTTTTAAAATATTAAATAGTTCTCTTTAAACATTACGGGCGAGGAATATTTTCAAGTATGAATTTTCACGGTGAAATCGACTGTATTAACATTAAAATATTTGAAAGACCCTGTGCGAAATTAATAACGGTTTTTGCAGCTTTACAGGAATAATATTATATTTTATTATAATGTACTTTTGCAACGAAATCGTATTTTAAAACGCGTTGTTTGTATTATCTATTTGATTGATGGTTCGATGAGGCTGCCAATGTTTTTTGGAAAACCGACGACGGTGACGCAGTACTCGGCGTTCCTATATCGATTATAAAATATGTTACAGGCAATGATGTAAACGTGGAAAATGACGTCATTGGCCGGGAAATCTCGTGATTTCATTAACGATCGGGGGAAAAAACGGGGTTTTTTTTTTACCTACGTAATTCGATCGTTTCTGCTATCGAGTAATTTTCCGGCCAATGACGTCGCTTTTCCAATAAATGTTTTTCGACCTATTCTTATTAGATGTCAGAGGCTGAGATTAAGATTCCGTCGATCACGATGTACATAATATATACACACATAACAGTTAATTAAAACCAGAAGGAAAAAAAATCAAGCGTTCTCTACAATTATAACTCAATGTTTATTACCGTTTATACCTACACGGAGAGTAGAATATTTGATTAAAACACAATATATTGCCACGTTTTCGCCGTTGAGTACAGACTGTCGATTTTAACGCGTACATTTGAGTCCGACGAAAAAAATAAAACACAAGTGGCGATTACTTTTTTTGACAAACTATTTTATGTACTTACTTGTACTTTATACTCTGCTGCAACATAATATAGATACGGGTTAAAAAAAAAAAAAATAACCAATAGCATTTTATTAAACAAACATTGACGGAATATACGTACCTATAAACATTATATTATTTTTTTTTTCGATAAACGTTATTTGAACACTTGTATCCGGTTGCTGTCCATTTACATGTTACACGTCACGATTACACGCATAAGCATTCAAATAATTTGTCCACATCACTATGACTTGCGACCTGCCCTCCAATGCGGCCAATATTATCTCTTCGGTGAGTTTAAAATTATTTATTATTACTATCGTTTGTATTTTTATAATATTCGCGTAATTTATTGGATATATTTTTTGACAATGTCAAACAAAAATACATTTTTTACGATTTATAATATATCTAAATTATTTTGTTGTTCAATCAACAAAGTTTTAGTGCAAATTTTACAAAATAAAAACCCGAACGAAGACGCGCAATAATTTTACACATGGTACTTTATTTGAACAATATTTCGAATTTCCCAATACATTTTACCAACAAATTTCGCTATGTGTTTTCGTTGTTAAAACTCTTTTTTGGCGATTTAAATGATTCGATTTTTTCCCGTAGTACCGTAACACGGGGTTAGTTTGCACCTTAAGTGGTAAATTTGCACCAGTTTTTACATTAGTTTTGATGTAATATGGTAGCAAATGATTATTTTATGCGTGCATTTTGTTTATTATATAAGAAATAATAATTTTAGAATAAGCTGATTGTAATATCTGAATGCACAGCTTTCAACATGTAATAGAGTTCCTACTAAAGCGATATACGTACACAAAGAAAATACCGAAAAATATCTGTTGTTTACATAGATCAAAATAAGGTTGACAGCGTACGATAAAAATAATCCTCAAGAAACTTCAATTAATCAGATGAAATAACAAAAACAAAGAATCATCAGTAGAAATCAATAAAAAGGAAATCGGAGAATGTCATTTTCACCTAAAAAGGCAAAGTGTTTTATTGGAGAAATTATAAATGTTCAAAACTAGATGGCTACTATATTTGCATGCAAAGGTTTGGGCATTTATGGAAATGATTCAATTCTCTTAGTATTTTAGATTACCCATGGTAAGATGTCTTCGGTCTCACCGAAAATCGGAAAAAAAAAATTGGAAACCGCGGCCGACATCGATTTCAGACCAGCCTTGGAAGAAATTTTTAATAGCCGTGTAAAGAAAACCCCGTCAAAAATATAAATAAATTTAGTTTAAAAAAAAATGCAAGATTAAACTATGCATAAATATGCCTGAGAGTAATCACGAAATATTTCAAAACTGTGTACAAATTTTGGGTACATAAAAAAACAATCAAATGATATTCAAAATTAGGCGCAAAGTAACACCGCGTATTACGGTACTTTAAAAGATGCAATATTTTTGCCAAGTGATAATTTTTATAAAAACATTGTGAAGTTTTTAACGATTCATCCCCTAGATTCAACCACTTTTTGGGAGTCTTCTAGGAACACACTTTTTCGGTTAGTTAAAATCAACTATTATACTCATTGCGCGCAGGTTTATAGAAACTAATTTATTTTACATTGATTCGCAAACACTATTCCGTACAAGTATATATACTTATACATTTTTGCATACATACATAATTTTTATAACTACAGTGTTTTGATATTTTCAGATATCATGTTGGGGAATTCTCAATCTTCGCGGTTTTTCGGTCAACCCGTGACACTGGAAGTGCCTGTAAATAAAATCAATAAATTACAACAATGTAATTACCTTTTGCTCCTATAATTGAAAAATAACTAACGATGTTTATTATTATTTTTTTTTTTTTTTATGAAATTCGTTTGTATTATATTCAAATATTTTCATTTTTAGGTTTAAAATTATTATTTTATTATTAGTATTGTTACTATTTCACAGCCATTCAAAACAATCCGGCCATCGTAAAGGAAATAATAGATGCTGCAGCTAACAATCCTTATGCATTCAATCCGTCTATGTCAAAAAGTCACCATCACCATCATCAATCGAGTGGTATATATATATTTACATTTTAGTTAAATAATCACACATGATTTAATTTACTGCACGTTAACGTATGAACGTGTCCATTAAACTCTAATAAAATAATCATTTTCCCTCTTGCTACACGCTGTCACTTACCATCACGAGTGTCAAAAATAAACTGACCATTACCATGTTAACATATAAATATTTTCGTTTTATGTATTATACCAATCAAAACAGTTTTCAAACGAAGCCGTCATAATAAATTTCGTCTGACAACTTTAAATTTACAACATTGTTTTTTTTTTTTTTTTTGTTTAAATATTAAACATTATTTTTATTATCTTCGACGTAAAAAATATGGACTCGTTAAATATAAAATTCTTGAAAAATAGCAACCTGAGTTAAATATCGTCCCAAAAATTAATATTTATAAAAAAACCAAAAATATTAGTGTTGCTCACTTTTATTCGCACGCAATGCTGAGTTATATAAATAACTTTTTTAACTATCTTTAGCATTTATAACCAACGATTTTAGAAAATAAAAATAATTAAAAAAAATTAAAATATTTTTTAATAATGTAGAGGAGATATATAATTATTAATTATTTACTAGTCGTATGATATTTCAGGGATTCCTGGTTTGTCATATCACGATGGAATGACGGTGTATGATCCTAGTCCTAAAAAAACGCCATTACCACAAAAAACGATGATTAATGGGGAGGAATACTTTTTAACTACGAGAGCGGGACTTTTGTGGGACAAAGGACTTAATTTGGTTAGAAATGCAGCATTGCAAGTTGGCGGTACGCTGGGATTAAATAATGGAATTTCACGAAATGCACCGAATTTAGAAGACCATTTAGAGTATCAAAATGAAGGCCACGAACCAAGTGGAAGTGAAGAAGAAGAGAAGATAAAACCGACAAAGAGGAAATCAAAGAATAAAAACAAACACGAGGATGAAAGTATTCAACAAGAAAGCAATGAACCCGAAGGTAGTCAAGAAAACACCGAAGAAGAGAAAACACCGAAAACGAAAAAAAAGCATAGGGAAGACGAAAGTATTCAACAAGAAGGCAATGAAGGCGAAGGTAGTCAAGAAAACACCGAAGAACAAAAACCACCGAAAACGAAAAAAAAGCATAGGGAAGACGAAAGTATTCAACAAGAAGGCAATGAAGGCGAAAACGAAAAAAAAGCATAGGGAAGACGAAAGTATAAAAAAAAGCATAGGGAAGACGAAAGTATTCAACAAGAAATAGGGAAGACGAAAGTATTCAACAAGAAGGCAATGAAGGCGAAGGTAGTAAAGAAAACACCGAAGAAAATATCACACCAAAAACGAAAAAAAAGCATACACGAAAATAAGAAATCGAATGTGTTATTCCATATTTATCTACAATATAAAATTAATTTTTTGTTTCAGGTTAAAACAAATGAAAAAAAAATTGAAAAAGTAATATTACATCTAGTGGACGTTTTTGAACTTTTTCTAATGAGAAACTTTGATATTAACTTACAATATATTTAATGTACAAAAAATATTTACTCAATATTTATTAATTTATTTAATCAATTTACATATTATCTGTTTACCTATCTTTAATACTAAAATGGTTTGCCTTTATACATTTCACTAAAACCGTACATATTCTTATGTATGAAATAATAACCCGTGACAGTGGCGTAACCAGGAATTTTTATGGGAGGAGGGGTTCATCATTATTATTTTATTAGTTCTCTAATGATTTTAATAATTATAGTTAAATTTCATAACCAACAAATTACTCCCAATAACACTAACAAAAATCGTAATAGTTATACATATACAGCGTCATACATATCTATACATACACACATTTACAAAACGGTTTATTAAATTTATGGGGAGGATCCGAAATCCCCTCCTTGGATACGTTCCTGACCCGTGAGCAACAGAGGTCCGTGCCTATAGTCAAATTTTCCTCTCCAAATTTTGTATTATGGAACTATTATTTAGAAAAAACAATAAATCAAATATAATATAATATAATACATTATAGATAAATATTCAATGCAAAAATTCAAAAAAAAAAATTCAAAATAATGTTCATAATTTATTTATATTTCTCTTATTAACATATTAATTTGCTCTTATTACTTTATTATATTTTAGTAGTTTTTAACACCTGAACTGAAAACTCTGTTAAAGATAAACTGAAAAAAAACAATATTTCCCCCATAATTACTAGCCATATCACATTATTCGTTTACAAAACAACTCTATTTCCCGATTTCGAGTTAATTTGGGCCAGCCGCTAAAAGCATACAAAACTAGCGGGGGAAATATATGTGTAATGTGTTTAAGGCATATTATATATGCATGAACAACGGGCACAATAGACTGCAATAATACCCTGTCAGTGGTTCTTAACTTTTTTCGAATGACGGAACACTTAATATTTTATACGGTTTTCGCGGAACACAGCCGTAAAATTAAACAGTATTAATATACATTTTTGAATTTTTTAGTATAATTAACAATGCATGTATAGTATAAAACAGTTTGCATACATGTTAGTCACTAAAAAATAACAAAATAACAAAGAAAGTTTAAAAAAATTTAATAATTTGGAACGGAATATTTTGTATGAGATATTTGAGCCTGATCATATGTAGGACATTGCTACTCTCATTTCCTTTTCTATATTTGTAGCCTTTCCCGTTTCTTTGTCTTGATATTCGTTAATTTTAAAAATCCAAGCTCACACAAATAAAATGTTGAAAATTGTAATAAAATTGTAATTGCTCTTTCAGAAATTGAATTTAAATTCGGTTTGAATGGAAATCAAAAATTCTTCTATTGTTATTTTGGAAACTTTTATTTTGAGAGTTTGATCTGTTGTAAGCGTTATAAATTCTTCCTCTTCTATACACGCAAATAACGTATATATATATATGTATTCTATACTCCATACAGTTATGCAAGTTTTATACTTTTGTGTTTTGGAAGTCCATAAAAGTCAAAATGTTAAGACAATGAAACTAAAAACTTAGTTTAATTTATGGATTTTTTTTCACCGATTTTAAAATTTTAATGGAACACTTAAACTAAGTCTGCGGAACACCGGTTAAGAACCACTGCTCTATGTTAACGGGGAAAATTCGACAAAAATTATAGAAAAAGTAATCGAAAAAGATATTCTAACCTAGCCTAGAAAAAATTTGCATTCCATAGTAATCAAAATGACAACATGAACGCGTACGAATAAAGCGGAATGAACGCACGGGCAAATTTCGTCGTTTAAAATTTATTATTTGATACCTATCCGGCTATCCATGAAAACGAAAATTATTTTTGTACGTATTGTTTATTGTTCGCCGTATAATTTTAAAAAGCGATGAAAAATTTAAATTAATAGGTAACGACTATGTCAATTACTTTTGTGCGCTGGCGTTTTGTAAAGAAGGAAGAAGAATAGCGTCGTCCGTTTTTTATTACTAAAACTAAGGTAAACTCTGACCGCGTTCATTCGAACGCGAACAAAAGAAACAAAAGTGATAAGATCTTTTTTCATTTCCCCGAGAGGTCGTAAACCACAAGGAACGACAAATGCGATATTTATTTTTTAGTAAACGCTGGTTGACCAAACGATTTTCGTCAATCGACGGCGTTTTGTTGTAATACAAATTGCAGTTATTTTCGCAATATTATTATCGCTCTGGAAACAGCAACGCGTGCAATGTGTGTTTTACTACGCGCCAACTAATTTATACATCGTCAGAAATTGTTTTTTTCCCTTTTTAATCAATCGTTCTTACGAATAGACGCATGTCACGGTACAAAAAATAGCAATTTATTCGATACGAACATGGAAATTATTTTACCGATCGTATTAGGAAAATGGATTTACTAGATACCCCGATTGGACGAAAAATTGCTGTTAAAACCATATTATTATGAACTCCGTTGTCTAATGAGATAATATTTTTAAAAAAAATCGATCGAAATTTAAAGCCGAGTTAAAAATTGTGGCTGACAGACTCGTAGACACAGATAGACGGAATACAATACAAAATTACTTTATGGGTATACGATTTTAGATTCCGAGCGTAACGAGAGAGCTATTGGTTTTATAATGCTGTTTATTTTTTTTTTGTTCTTTGTTTTAGTCTGTGAACACGTTTTTTCCTAGTAAACTTGCTCCGAATTTTACGTGTAACAACTATTATGAAAGCTCAAGTTGTCTAGATTGTACTTTAAACAGGTAATTTTTTTTGATTTTCGACGCTATTTTTTAAATAAAAGCACTTAAGTGGGAAAAAACGTAGGAAAACGTACAATTTCACATTTATAAAAACACGAGTGACATTGTCTACCAGAAAAAATGATTTAATCGAAAAATCACAAAATACCTTTTCTGTTGCTTTTTTATTTACTTTCTTACGATATTATCGCCAACATTTTTGTGTCACTTTTGAGCTTTTTAGGAATTTTAATTTTTGGAAGTTTTTTCGCTGTTATTCAGTTATAAATAAATGTAAAGACTTGAAACTTGGTGATAATAGTTATATTGGACTTACCTAGACGAGGTCAAATTTAAAAAATCATCGGACGACTTTTTTTCCTTTTTTAAATTTTTGTATTACCGAACTGCGCTTGGAATCGTTTTTCATCAGCAATGGTTTATCGTTACTTACAGATATAAATGAAATTACTCTATGTATCCCATATTTCCCACTATCCACCTACAACAGTGGCCGCACCCATCTCCCCTCTGTATCAGCTCTTTTTTTCTATTGTTTTTTAATTGGCGTGTTCCGTAATTTGCTTCCGTTTATTACTCTCGTCGCGTTTATTATTAAATATATCTGATATTGAAACGTTTTCAATATCACGAATTGTCCGACTCGTTTTTATACACCGCGTAAGATAGCACAACACGTATAACCTACATTTTCAAACACAGCTGTTTGATCGTTAATTTCGCACAAGCTCCGGCAATGCATTTTATATAACGGCAACAAATATTATTATTATAACAATAATTATGCAACAAAACCAACGGCGATAATTATATTCATGTAATAATAATTAGACCTCGACACGCACGATAAATACTTTTTTTTTTTTTTAATTTTTTTTTCATAAACGTTATATTAAAAACACTTGTACTTACTTACCGACATGTCTGCGGGGTACAATACACACACGGACCGCTGCAGACACGACCCGTTGATATGGGCTGCACAATTAATAACGCAATTATTTGTATTTTATTATCGCTATGGACGTTAACGTGCCCGTCACTACAGTTTTTTTGCGGCTATTACCTCAGTAAGTATGGAAATCATTCGGCATTTTCACACAATTATAACTATCGATATTATTGTTCCCACATATAGCACAGACCCGGCGATTCACGGCGATACGGTTTCGTATAACACGATTCCGCATATTATTATGCATTTTCATTCACGCGATTATTGCACCCAAAAATATGTTATAGTTAGTACATACATTAATGAATAAACCATATTGGAGAAACGACGTAGGTGTATGACATATATTTCTACATTCATTGATTTCTTTTATACATTTATATTTTTACTTCTTTTATAAAATTGCCAAATCAACGACGCAACATTGTGATTCACTTAATATACTTGGATTAATAACAGTCTATTAGATTTAATAATTATTAATAAAAAGGAAAATTTCATTTTTTTTACAAGAAACAAAAATAGATCGATAATTGATATTTGGTAAATTATTAAAACATTAAACAGTCTTTGGTTTTTATTGATAAAAAACAACTTATCTTCTAGGTCACTATAGTGAAAATGTATTACTTGATATTAATAACTCATAACGTTAATGCACCAAAAAAAAGTTGTAAATAGCATAGGTTGATTCGGTGCAAAAAAAAATATACGTCCGGAGGTATTTGGTTCTTGCTCAGGGTAAACATTTTTCTCTACGGATGTATATTTATTGAGATACGTCCAGACGCATTTGGTTATTGCGCCGAACGCAGACTAATAAAAAGGTTTTTGGTGTACATACTTCAACAGATTGATTAGACGTATCTAGTTGTTACACCAATTTTCACTTGTTGAGGTTGCCGTTATGACGGTCTGTGACGGAAATCAGATTATTGAGGTATTTGACGAAGAGAAAATATCTATTCTTTTTTATCCTGATCATGCCGGTGGGTGCGCCACAATTGTAGATGGAAATTCGGGAAGGTCACATGTATAATGTTATTTAACTTGTTATACCTGTAAGCATCGATAAATCATTGCTAACGAACAACGATTCTGAGCGCGGTTTGTATGCGTGAGCGTGGTTTTAAAGGTCGTAATGTTTACGATTTGACGATAGAATGTATATAATACGTCTCTATTTGACTATTAATTAATTTCGTTTCGGTGTTTAAGTATTTAAAGAAAATACATTTTGTAATTTTCGATAAATCGATTCGAATATTATCCAATAGCATAAATTGAATTTCAAATTTTCCGACATTCAATACGTTATTTATGTTTATTGAATATAAAAAAAGATTCCAATAACAATAACGAAAAATTCACCTTATTAAAAACGATATTGTATTGTTCGTTTATATTTTTATATTTTCATTATTTATTACGGTATTAGCTGTCCCGTCCGGCGTTGCACCTGCCAATTTTTTTATTATTATTTTTACCATTATTCTTTTTTGGTTTTAACCGTGTCAGTATTTAATAAAAACAAATAGGTCCTGGAAAGTGGATAGTCCCCTTCGGCGGACTATAAGTGTTCTTATAAGTGTTGTGTCTTTTTTTCATGATTTTCATACGAAAAACATCGAAACTTCGAATTTTTTTATTTTTTTTTTAGTGGAGGGGGGGGGGGTTGGGGTTGGTGGATTTCAAAGGAAATTAAGCCTTAAAGCTAACCTATCGGGGAGTGGGTACGTTCGACAGCGGTAAAGCGCATGTACCGTACCATAGCTAGTCGTCGCTCGCACGAACGGTGTTCGTTTTATACCACTGTGTGCGTATTTGCCGACAATTTATATTAATGTAAAATTAATAACTCAACTGTTAATCTTTATGTATAAAAATTGATTTTGTCTGTGACGCCATAACTTGAATACCATCCGAATTTCCAACTTTTCCGGTAGATTTTCCAAAAATGTTCTTTCATAAAAATCGTATCCCGACAATTAAGAATACACACACAAAAAAAAAAAAAAAATCTGGCATATCGGTCCGTCCGTTTTCATGTTATGGCGTCGGAAACAAAATTTCGACTTATTAGCTTTCTCTGTGATATACTCTATCATTTAAAAAAAAAAAATAAGATTAGACGAGCAGTTTCGGAGTCAACCTAAAATTTCCATTTTCGTTTTTATATGTTATGTAAATAATAATATTATGTATTTATTGTTTTTAGATCTTTTAAGAAACTCCCAACCGTCGTATCAGCCTTCACCCTTACCGTCGTCCTTACCTTCGCCTATCACTACGGGTCCGCCTATCACATTTGAAGTGCCCGCAGGACAAGCGGAAGAATTGAGAAAAAGTATTGGATTGTTATTATCACCATTAATTACCAAATTATATTATTTATATAGAATACGCTCTATTAATAATAATCATGATTTTTCTCCCAAATGTTCCTTAATTGTTTTTTTTTTCATGATACTTAAAATTTGTACAAATAAAAAAAAAATTTAAATATTATTCCAACTAATATAGAACTTCGAACACCACGTCGATGACTGTATACTACTACTATAGTCGAAATAACCATACACAGTATAGAAGCTCGATTATCCGGAGTATTTAGGTGGAGACAGGTGACACGGATGAATGAAAACCGCGGTTAATCGAGATTTTTTTATGTAACGAATTGCAATAGTATACGATGTTATATCTTTTACGCATACATCATACACGTGTACGATGACACGTTATAAATTTATCGAGGGTTTGAACAGTCTTGGTTAATCAAGTTCTAAAATGATTATCCTCATTTCGCTTCTAATTTTTCTTAAATTCTTGACACCATGGAAGTCGAAAGTTTTTCCCGGCGCGTCTTTGCCTTTACTTTTGTTTACACGGATATTCGGAAGATTGAGCACGGTTAACCGAGACACGGTGTCACGGTTAATGTATTGAGTTTCTAATGCAATGTATATAACTATTATTAATTGTATTTATTTAATTCATACGGACGTAGAGTTCAATAACAACTTCTATTTCGTAATTATAACAATATATACCACTTAAATTATCGTTTTAATTGATATTAAATATATATATATATTTTTTTTTTTTCAGGAATCGAGCAAAATCCTCAACTTTTAAACGATTATATCTCGGCAAACGGTAATCGACCTTTAGGGACGACAAGTCGACAAAACAGCGGTATAGTTACACATAATAATATTCTAAAAACAAATTTGTTAGAATCATAAACACGTTAACCTATTTGAAATGCAAACAAAGCTTGGAAACTTAGAGGATACTATGGCATCGTAATAAAAAATGATCGTATTTTTATTATTATATTACGTATTATCGTATTATCATTACTAAAACAAACAACAACAAAAAAAAAAAAACCAAGTATAGTTATTACAAACATTTAACGCCTCCGACCGGGTTTATTTGTTTTTAACCCGTGTGGAACTAACGGCTCTGACCTTTTTACGCGCCCTATAATATTATAAACAAAACGGCTGAAATTACTTGTTCCGCATTGTACTATAGTATCTTATTAGCTATGTCGAATACACCCGGTCGTAATAGCAAGACCCCCGAATAAATAATACAATTGTTGTTGTTTATACGTTTTAAAAATGACAAATTATTATCATCAAAGTTTTATTAAACACTTCTGAACATTTTTTAACGTGTACATATTTTGTGTTTATCGATATTTATGGGGGGGGGTGTAGGAATTTCATAATTGTATCTGTTTGTCGTCGTGAAACTTGTCCAGTGAAAATAATCATAAAAACGCGCTCCGAAAATGCGCTTGTCTCCTAAAATGATAGCTACATTTAATAATTTCAAATCTAATTGTCTCGGGGTTACGACGACAAGATAATTCATCGTTGTCTTTTATTATTATATTTTTTTTTTTTGCCATCTGACAGATTATTTTCTCGAATCCTGTGAGATTAGTGGATGAAAAATATTATAAAAGAAATGCTGACCCAAAAATTATGAAAATATACATTATCATGATAACCACGTTTTTCACCCGACGACATTGATCGGATAATTTAATAAATCGTTCGTGGTTTGTATTTAGTCAATTTAAATTCTATTATAATAATATGATTGTACGACCGCGATAAGTACGAATGGGTCGTGTGGTTGACATTTTTTTTTTTAATGCATTATAAACCGTGGAGCTCTTTACATAATGTTATATTAAAAAAGACGTCTTAGGATAATGGGGCCGGGTTTAGTCACTGTTATAGGTAATTTAATGTTTACCTGTAAGTAACGATATAAACCATTGATTAGTTCAGTTGATAGTGATGCTTATTATATGTTTTATTTTATAATATTTGTTTAATGTTGCATCGATTTTCTCGGTTTTCCTAGTTTTTTACTTTACTGAGAAAACTCCAAGGAAAATAGAAAAACGACCTCTTTAAAGTACTTCTCCACTGAAATTTCCTTTCAGAAACATTGCTCCGACAAATGTTGGAGCAAAATTGCTGGTAGAAAAGTTGTCCACAGAAAAAAAATTCGTAATATTATATTCATTATACTTAATAAATTTTCTCGTTTTTTTGGTTTTTTGCATTTGAAAAGAAAACTCTTGAGGAAATTGAAAAATGACCTATTTAAGATACCTCACCACATTGATTTCCTTTCAGAAAAGTTGCTATACATGAAAATCGGAGTAAGTCCTCATGTAGTAAAGTTGTCCATAGAAAAAAAAAAATAAACATATTTGTAAAACCTTAAGCTTCTTCGTTTCACTCAGAATCTAAAAAAAGAAAATTAACAGGCAAGATCATAATATAAAGAGTAATTTAATTTATATTTGTATCATGTATATTGTACGACAATTAACGTATTGCTAACGAAAAACGTATCTGAGCAGTGTATTATCAGTCTTTTTCCTCGCTTTTCGCCTAGGTAACAGAAATCGACAAAAATTATACGAAAAATAGCCAATAATATTTCCCATCCGTTAAGAAAACTACAAGGAAAATCGAACGCCTCAATAAGTCAACTAGATATAATAAATCCTTATGCGGTTTTTGATCTGAACGAGATTTCTGGTAAAAAATTTGTTTACAGCTACAAAAAAAAAAAAAGAAGAAACCAAACACATCATAGGAAAAACGAATACATGGAATGTAGGAATGTTCCTCACTTTGTTCAAAAGAATTTATAAAACATATTTAATTGTAATACCTGTCTGTTTATATTTTTTCAGTAATTCCCTCGACCGGTTTACCGCTCAGTTCTTACCAAAGTCCTCAGGTGTACAGTCCTCGACCCGGAACCACAGCGGGACTGCCGCGAGAAACGATAATCAACGGTCAACCGTTCTATTTGACTACGAGAGCTGAAATTTTATGTAAAAAAAAAATGAATCTTCTGAGAGGAACTCCTTCAACTGTGGTTTCGAATGCCGGACCCGTGCCGATACCGTACTTTCACCCGGTTATAGAAACTCATCGTCAAGACGTACCGGTAAATTCGCCGATCATAAAAATATCGGAGAGTCCTGAGGAATCGGCTGAAGAATCCGAAGAAGAAGAAGAGGAGGAGGAAGAGGAAGAGGAAGACGAAGACAACGAAGAAGGAAAAAATGACGGTGACACTGAAAGTGAAGAAGATGAAGATGATGAAGAAGAAGAAGAACCGAAAGCATCGAGAAATATTAGGAATAAGAAAACCACGGAAAAAAAGAAAACGTCGCCGAAGAAGAAAACGCTGGCAAAAAAGAAAACACCGTCGAAAAAGAAATCGCCGCCGAAGAAAAAAACGCCGGCGAAAAAAAAGAAGGATACCGAAGTTAACGGCGAGAACAATGGCGAAACGTTAAACGACAGTAATGAAAAAGAAAATAGAAAAAAAAAACTAAAAGTGCGGAAAAGAGACGCGACGGAGAGCACGGGACAAAGTGACGGCGAGGACGAGGACGAAAAATCGAATAAGAAAAAGAAAAAAGGAAACGCCAAAAAAAAGCGTACGGCCTAAATGTTTACGATCCGCGGTCCGGGATATGTTTTAATCGATTTTAAAAAAATCACATTACTGTACACCAACTACCTATATAATATATACGTCACTGCGCACGTTCTCGGAGCGTGTTGAAGAATTTTTTTTTTATTGAATTTTTACAATAATGTTTTTCTTTATCGCTATTTATTAGACAAAAAAAATAAAAAAATAGAAAAATGTTAATATTTATATTCTCGTAGAATTTTGACCGAAAATTTATGAGGTATTTCGTGTATATCTGCGGATTGGGTCAAAGGATTGGAAGGGCCAATGTCACTTTTTGATGAAAATTAATTATAAGGCCAATCGTATAAAATTTGATACGCTTTTTCTACCGATAAAAAGGCGTATCTCAATAATCATTGTTGTAACATTTGAGAAGACCAATTTTGTTGGAAAAATTACTATTGCAATATCGAAAAGGCCCGAAAATGTGTTTTATTCTCAATTTCCCAGAATTGATTAAGAGTGTGATTGGCCATTTTGGCCTAAGCCCCAGAATCTATATTTATGTTTTTCCCGATATACTTCCTGACCGTATACTGAAAATTACCCACAATGTCTAACGATATGCGTATTGCGTACACCACGAATGAGGAAAAGAAATAGGAATATTACCAGTATCGTAAATAACTACGTGAATGATTGACGTACGATCTCAAGCCCCCTCCTCCTCCCTATCGACTTTTTGATGGTTTCTTTTTTTTTGTCAATAATTTAGTACTTCTTTTGTACGAATTTATACGACAAACCCCACAATTTGTACTGCCACAATTTCAGAAGAATTTGCGAAAAACCTCGTGGGAGGGGGGGACTGGAGAAACATCAATATTTTGTAGAGTGAGGGGTAATGAATAATTGACTATTATCGTACAAATTAAGGGGTTTGCCGTAAAAATACGTACAAAATAACTACTATAAATGATTTACAAAAAAAAAAAAACAACAAATAGATGGGGGGAGAGAAATTTTTTTTTTTTTTTTTTATTTAAATAAAAGATTAATTGTACACATTATAAATACAACAATACAATATATCTTAAATTTATACCTACCTTCTTTAAGCATGGAATGCTGAAGAAACGTACGTTATATATCGTCTATTCTACGCTCATTGATAAATTGAGGTTTTTTCCCCGTGGATTATTTTTTGTTTTGTTCTGCGTATAATATTATAGCGATAACTGATCACTTTTCTCGGCGAGCGAGACAGACGATTCAAGATCGCTTGACAGCTGATTGTATAGGCTATCCGTTGCGCGTTATCTACAGATATGTTTCGGACACTTACAGCAGCAGCTTCCTTTGAATGTCTTATTGTTCTCGAGCTAAAACTCGAGGATCGGGTTGTTTTATAGGTGGATCGAAGTGATGTGACTTTTTGGAATTGTTCCAAAAAAATTTTATATTTATTAAATGTCGAGTCAATCAAAAGGGAAAAATTCGAAGAAATTGTGATGAGGGGGAGGAGAGCAAATAAATAATCTTGTAATAATTTTCGACATGCTATCGGGTGGACTGCGGATCTTTGACGCGGGACTTAAAATCTGTATAAATAAGTTACCCATGGCTGCAGTATGTATAACCTTTTCATAATAATTGAATTGGGTATTAGGTGAATTAACATTTAAATGTAATACTAGAAAAACTACGATTGTTAAAATATTGTTTTGCGTATTTTTCGCCACTGTTACCGCAGTGTTGTACAGCATAACAATTATAAGATATATATATATATATATATTGTTTTTGTTTCAAATGGTAGTTAATTTATGGTAATAACATTACCTAAAATTAGAGAGTTTGGCACGTTGACTAGATTTTTCGACGAACGTCGCGAAAACACTTGTACATGGAGCGCGTATGCAGGTGTACTCGAATAAATCGGTTTATATGCAATGTCCTCGAAGAATTTATTAAAATATTTCACCCTGCTATGGATCGTGATTTGCCCGTCTATGCAACAAAACCATAGTAAGTATAAAAAAAATAAAATAACATTTATCATATTCGTGGTGCTCCTGCAGTGTTAATGAAATACAATTTAAAATGTTTGAATATCTATACGTAAGTCGTAAAGTAAAAAAAAACTAATTAAACACCAGGAACAAAACCAATGATTTGATATTTAAGGTGTAATAAAATAATAACTTTTTTTTATTACTCAAAAACTAATAAAAAAAAAAATATAATAAATCGACAATGATTATGGTCAAAATTATTTTTTGTTTTTTTTTTTAATTTTAAACCTACGTTATAAACGTGATTTCTAAAAAAAAAAAAATACATCTTCTCAGGTGTCACTTGATACAAAGGAATTATTCAACAGTATTGTAAAAAAGTTCGTCCATAAAAGTGAAAATAGAATTTGTAATTTTGCCTTTCGTATTATTATTTTTATTATTGTGTTTTAATTTAAACTTTTTTCGGTAATTTGTACACTGATAAATTCTATACAGATATCTAAATAATCCAAAAACTTTGATTACAATGTGGTTCATAAAAATACGATAAATTTGAACGGAAACTGTTGGACAGTATAGTAGGTATTTGAAAGTCAAAATTGTATTTCTGTTATTGTTATTGTGTCTTAAAAATCAAAATAATCATCTGTATAAATAAGTAAGTACGTTAAAACTATCGAAAGTAATAAAACACGAAAAGAACAAAGCAGATCTTTTTTTCTAAAAAATAATAATAATTCATGCAATATTAAAAAAAAAAAAAATCAAAAGACCTGACAGCGGAGAATAAAAAATATAGAAATGATATTATGTAATAGACAAATGAAATGTGATGAGAAAAGCTGTCGCGGACTGATACAGTGACTTGATCTTAGATCTTGAATGATAACTACAGACAGACAGAGGTATCATTCCGTGACTGTTTTCTTTCCATTACATTTCATTTATCGATTATATTATGCGTCTATATTTTTTTTATCGCTTTTTCTGCAGTCATCTTTTAAATTTATTTTCATGTATTTAATTTTTTTAGTTTTTAGCATTCGGATTTTTTTATTATTATTAAATTTCACCTCTTCTCGCATTAAATTTATTAAAATCTGTTTAGCCATCCGGGCTACACGAAATAATAAGAACTACGTCATGTATTCATATACGGCCGATGACGAAATACATAACCGTTTTTTTAGGAACCCGTTAAGTTCACGTTTAATAACGAAAACGAACGAGAATGATTTAAATTGAAATTATATTGTATAGGAACTGGCTAAGTACAAATTTTATTAGAATGATATATTTAGAATTAATTATTATAAATCGTTTTCGGTTATTTGGGTAATTATTTTGTTTATATTTTTTTGTTCTGTTCAGACTCTTATTTAACGGGTGCTCCTCTCCATCAAGTCCAACCTCTTCGAATCAGAGTTCCACACCACAAAATTGACGAGTTTAAAGAAAGTAAGTATACTTACCTATATATAAGAGGTAAGAGGTAGTAATTTCTATTATTTATTTCATTTTTTGTTATAGTTTCTATAACTATAACATTATATTTGTTATAAACAATATAACGTTATATATTATATTTGTCATTGTCGACAACAAAATAACTTTTCCGTGTTTCTCTCGGGTTTGCTTTATTTTTGAGTTGTCTGTATGAGTTAACATCAGAATTTTTTATCGCTCGTGTAATTTGTTATTAGCCTTCTTCTTTCTTGTTTCTCTTTTATCATCATTTTTATTGATTATAAAAATATACAAATAGCCCATTCAATGTAATAATAGATTGCATAGCTAAAATTATAGTTACTAATCATGGGATGCAGCCACTATGGGGCGCTAGAGTTGTTGTCATTAATTCTCACGTAAATGACTCTAGCGCTCTCCAAAGCGGCCGCATCAATTACCTATATATAAGATTAAACTAAACATTTTTATTTAAAACATAAGTTATTTAATATATTATTTAAAAAAAAAAATTATTAAATAATTAAGTTTTTATAGGTACACATTATTAGATTACACATTTATTTTACCGTTTTACCAAATTCTTTAGGCAACTACCAAAGATTTTGTTTACAATCCTTTCTCAACTTCGCCCATAGCTACAGCACTTTTCTTCATAAGTTTTCTGCATGCCTTTTAATGGCACAACATAACGAACAAATATTTTTGAACATGTGTTGTTCAAATGTAACAGAGCACCAAAGTGTATACAGTGCATACCTATGTGAAGGGATATATTATGAAGTAGTAAATCAGTTAGATAAATCACTTACTGTATCGGTAACAAGAACATTAATTACTTTATATTCGATAGTAAATTTATAAAAATATAGAAATAACCTGTTTATCGCCGATCCTAATAAAATCGGAATTTCGAGTTATCCGTGAAATTTTATATTTTAAAACGATTTGTTTACGTTCTTTAAATAGGAAATTATAAGGATCACGGAAGAACGTCCAGTTAGTAACGATTTTGAGTAGGTACATTAAGTTTGAATTAAACAAGTTTGACTGTATATTATTTTTTAACATATCGATTTCATTCATATCAAATGTATATTTATGTTTCAACTAATAACTACATAGTTCGATGAGATTAGGCATTTCGATCGACTGGCCACCCGAACATAATAACGTCAAATCTATACTCTTGTTGAGTTCAGTATTGAGCGGTCATCATTTTAATTTAAAATAATGTCTGCACATATTTTATGCAGTTCTCAATCAACATCCGAACATCATAAGACAATACGGCCATTATCTTCTGAACACGTACCCGTCAGCGCATTCTCCGTTGAATTATAGATCACTTCCAGGTGAAAAAGGTAAAAGGAATTTTTTTAATAAACAATGACTAGATATTGTTGGAAAAAAAAAATTTGTTTGTAATAAATAAATAAGTAAATACATTTTTGGTTTCTAACTATTGTAAAACTGGTCACATTACTCTAGTCATCTATGTAGTTTGTAATATTTGATAAGAGACCTGTTTTGTTGAGTAATAAATTTAAATGATTTATTGTCGGTTGGTCATTTTTTAAAATTCCAAGTGGTTATCCAAATAATTGGGAAAAATCGGAAACAAACTTATAGGAAGTATGGTCAAATATGTATAGTGATGCCCCATCGTTAAAGATTTCAATATTTTCAATTTTCACGATTTTTGTATTCTACCAGAAATTTTGATCTACGTTTTTAAGTGTAGCCTCTTTTCCAAACGAAAATGTTGTCTAGTTGGTGAGTAAAAGGTTGGTTTTTATTGTCCATTTAGTTTTCTTAATAATTGTGAAAACAGGGGGAAACGTAGAAAACACAATACAATTGACTGTATTCACAAAATCATTATATTTTATTTTGGTATTTTGTTAAAGATAACCGTTTGAATTTGAAAAAACCGTTTGAAACCGACTTGAAATTTCCACAGAATACTTATATTTGCCACTTCTAGAAGTGGTCAAATTTTCAAAATTGTTAAGCTATTTATAGACCTCATTATAAAGTTTTTGGCCGAACAAAAGTTCTTGAAAATTAATTACGAAAAATGTAGTATTTTGTTTTTAAGCAGTTTAAAATCAAATTTTGACGAAAACCATAAAAAATATAGCATTTAAAAAATTTATATACAAACATCATATAGAATCGTTTTCGTAAGTAATGGTTTTTTGTTGCTTAGTGATATAAATTAAAAATTTCCATTAAAACTGTAGCCTACCTTTCCAAATTCTCACCTATAACAGTGACACACCTATCAGCAAAATCGGTTATTTTTTTTAAAAATTTATATTTTGAATACCTTTAATATTATTCTTGCAGGACTATTATCTCCTGTACATCAAGCAACTGCAGGTATACAAATATCCCATAAAACTACTCCCAAAGGAAAATATATTTATTTGATTGGTGGTCATAAATACGTTATGACCAAACGAGGGTTAGTTCCGTGGCGAAAAAGAACCGAGAATTTAAAAAAAACAGTAAAGAAGATATTGAAAAGACCGGTTAGCGATTATCTGAAGAAAACATTACGCCCTGAAGATATGCTTAGATCTATAACGAAAAAAATAAATAAAAAGGATAATGACACGTCAAAAGAACGGGAAAAAGTAAAAAAAATGAACAAAAAGGATAGTGGCACGTCAGGCAAATTGGAAAAAGTAAAAAAAAAGAACAAAAAGGATAATAGCTCATCAGATGAGTAGAAAAAACCAAAAAAAAAAAAAGGTGAAGAATTGATATTATTGATATATATGTTAAAACAAAGTAAATCGTAGAAGTAATTTTGATTATAAACTGTTAAAAAATTGCATTATAATTTATAATAAAAACTATACATATTTTTATACTAATAACTCTTGTATAATGTTATTAATAATTTTAAACCATATAATGGATAGGCAATGAAAGATCGTTATTTTTTAGAATTAAAACACAGAAAACACAATAATACCTTATTAAAAACTATAGTAGTGAAAATAAGAAAATAAAAAATAAATGTTATAATGATAATGTGCACGCTAAAAAGAAATTAACCAAAACCAAAACTTTAAAACTGAGTACTTTTGAGTAAACTCCTTACAGTCTTATAATTTGTATAATATTATTAAAGTGCACAATTATAAGAGTGGAATTGATATAAAAAAAAAAAAAAAAATCAAAGATAACTTAGGCGGCACCAGTGAAACCATCAATACTACATTGCTTTGTTTGCGTAAAGTTAAATGCGTAATACGATTTTCACACAATGTATATAATCAATACAGCCTCCACACGCATTCACAAGAATAGTAAAAAAACACGAAAGAAAAACAAAAAAAATGCAACTATATAAGTAAATATTTTTGCTTCGGAGTAAAACGACCGTTCTAACAACGACGAGTTCTGCAAACCTACGTTCACAGAAAAACCTTATCTAACTCAAATAAAACATTATCTGAGCATAGCAATATTACTGGAAACGATTTTTTACTTGTGATTATGTAAGCCAGGCGACTGGAGGTTAGATAATTATTATGATAATCGCTGTTCGCTATAATATGTGTACTAATAGTCAGTAATCAAGTATACGTATCATTTTAATGGTACGTGTTTGTTTTCAGTTTTAGGCAACTAAATATTCCTATTTATACTGCGAACTAATTAACAATATTAATGCGTATTAATTACTATTGTTGAATTTTCCCCGAAAATTGAAACTGTTGCGCTGTATTACGTGCCAACTTTAATGGCCCACGTTTAATAACGGTAATTATATTAATTATATATTATACTCCGATAGATCTGTTTGTTATTATACGTATGCATATTTGTAAACCACTCTCGAATTAAACTTATCGGGTTTTACACGGACGGAACACGCGTTTCCATTAACTATGTGGTCGAAAATTAAATTAAAATGTCTTTTCATATTTTTATGGGCTTCGATTTGCCCGTATTATACGCATGCTGCGGGTTATTATTATTGTAAGTAAAATACATACTCTATGTATTACAATATTATATTATAAAGAAAAAAAAAACGAATTTATCAATAAATATTACTTCTTTTTGACAATCTTAACACTTCTGAAAAATGCATTCTCGTGAAATAATTGGCTCCGGAGATAGAGGGGAGGTGGAAAAAAGCTCGAAACGACGGCTGATTCCAGCGAAAAAAACAGCTTGGAAACCAATAATTTTTTCATATTTATTGGTATAACGTATGACATGTGGTTTGATTCGGTATAATTTAATTTACCCTATTTGTAATATTAATAATCATTTAAACGAAAATTTAACAATAATATAAAAATACCGTGAAGAGCTCAAAAATATTAAAGAGATTGAAAACTACCAAAAAAACAATTATATGAAAAAAAATTCTAATGAAATTAATAAAGGTGTATTTTTGTTAAACCGGTTTCATTTAATTTGTAACTTTTAAAATTTTAACTATATTAATTTTAAATAAAGATATACGTGTATATATATTATATAATTAAGACTGTAACGACCTATATTATTATGTTACTGTACCTAACAATTTATTATTATTACACGTATTGGGTATTATTTTACTATGACATTTTTATTATTGACTTAGGTGTTATTTTTAGGTCTATGGTTTCCAAAAAATATTGAGCGGACACTTTTTCTTTACAAAATAGTTTTCGGCGGAAACAAAAGTCGTACCATTATTCATTTTTGGCGGAATAGGGTTATGACTTATGTAAATATTGCACGAAGTGTACGGCCGAATCGTGCCTGGAACACTGCCGCGCGTTCGGATGTTATAGCGATTTCGATTACATTGTAACCGAAAAATACGTCTAAATTGTCGATTTTAATTAGTATTGTGAGGAAACCATAATCGGAATTCCATGCATGAAGAAATGATATTTCTATAATGAAGTTAGGATCCGTTGTTCCTTGATATATTAATGATCTCTACACGCTATTTTATACAATTTTATATTATAAATAATACTATGTGCAAATGTAACTGAGCTATTTTGTTTTAATGAATAATTAAATAAATTATATTTTTATGACACATCACGGATGCGAAAACTAAAAGCATAATTGTACACAAAATAATTGATGGCGCGCGATCCCATTAACGACATTTTCTCTACCACACATAACAATGTTTCCACAATGTTGATTTAGTAAGACGAAAATACAATTTTCGAAGTTTCTAGTAATTTTTAATATGATTAACAATAATAACTGAATATGAGACTTAAATTTGTTACGGATTTCCGCATGTAGGCAGGGGTTAATATTATCCGATAGAATGTAAAGAACGGCTTGGACTGTTTTGTATCATAAAGATTAATTTCATGTTTTTATTTTATTTTTGCCATATTTTACGATTTTATTTTTATGAAATGGAACATTTTGTGTGAATAATATTTATTAATCATGAACGTCGCAGTTGAAGGTAAATATATGTTATAATAATGTTCATTTCAATAACAACATAAATAGTTAATAGTTATACTAAAACAACATTTTAATATAACTGTGAAAGTGGGTATCCAGCAGTGGTTTACGCTTTAACATAAAAAATGTATTATGTTTAGTATATATTAAATAATATTTGTGTTTAGTTACGATCTTAATAGTACATTTAATATCAGTTTGTATCCCTTTAAATGAGTTTTCGATTCAACACGATGGACTAATGAATAAATAGGAAATAAATTTAAAAAATGAAGTCAGATTTGAAGAAAATTGACACAAATTTATTATACTTCATGGAAAAATAATCGTGTACGGCTCTAAATCAACGTTCTGGAACAATATTGTCTGCATGCAATTAAAATAAATATTACTTAATATAATAATATAACGATTCAAAATATAGGTGCACTAGAAAACTATATAGTATGAACGATACAAAATTGACGATCAATAATCAATAAAATGGTCAAATTAACTAGGTAGATTTTCTGTTTTAAATTCTGAACAAAGCGTGGAATGTATTGGTTTTACAGTGATTTTTTTGTCTATCTGTAAACAATTTTTCTACTAAAAATCTTGCTCCAATTTTCAAGTGTAGTTTTTTTTTTTAGTGCCATACAGGACTTTAAGGTCATTCATAAGATTCCACCAAACTTCTCCATTAATTCTGGTCCATTGTGTCATTCAAATTCTTTGATTCATTGGTATCTGAAGTGTCGTCTACCCTATCTAACCATTGCTTGGGAGGTCTTTTCCTCGGTCGCTTTTTTGTTGTGTTCCTGATCATATCATTTCGTGTAAGATTTTCATTGGCTCGCCTACATGACCAGCCCGTTTCCAACCAAACCGTTTTTCTAACAATAAAATAATTCAAATTGTTGTATAACCTTTCTATATCATTGATTTCCACCTCTCGTATTCCTCATTTTGAATTTGAATAGGCCCATACATTGTTTGTAAAACTTTTCTTTTCGAAGGTGAACAGTTTATCTTCATCATTCTATGTTATGGAACATGTTTCATATGGATACTCTTCTATCAGGCGTAAAAAGAAGTGTACAGTTTCTCTTTTTTTGCCTTGGAGAGTAGTCTAGAAACGAGCATTTTATTGAAGACAAAGTAGGCCTTATTTGAAATACTTATACTTAGCTGGATCTCATTATACATGCTTTTTCGTGTGTTTATGTTAACCCTTAAGTATTTAAACTCGTCCACCAATGGCATAACGGTCCACTTTTAGTGCTAATTTTTTTGCTACATGTCTAGTCCTTCCTAGGTACTTATAGGTTTTTTTCTTATTGATAAAAAGGTTCACTCTGCGATAAGACTTAATTAATTTTTCTGAAGCCTTAACTACATCGATTTCCATAACTCCAAATATTACGATATCTTTCGCGTATAGAAGACATTATATTAATACTAATTGAGATTTAAATTACGGTGATAATTCCTCTTGGCATCTTACTTTACAATATGTACTTAAATTACCTTTTTCTATTATTTTTTCGGGTATTTTGAAGTTCTTCAGGGTTGTCCATAGTTGTTGAATGTCGCTACTGCCGTTGGCTTGTTTAAAGTCCACGAAAGTAGTTTGTGTAAAAATGGTTTGTTGTTAACTTTTCTCTTGTGAATCCAAAGTGGTATTACTCAATTATATGCATAGCGTATGTTTATAAATGCCTCAAGGTTAGGTTAGGACTGCAATTGACAATAGTCACTTTTGTAACCTATATTTATTAGTGAGATATCTCAATAATTTTCTACCTTATCAGCTACTATATTTCATTTTTAAAAGATTAACAACACGATTCCTGTGTTCCAATCTTTAGGTATATGCTTTTTCGTCCATATGCTTCCGATCTTCCGAAATCAATTCCAATTTCAAATTTAGTATCTTTTCTAAAAGAAAATTTATTATCTAGGTGGTACAGTGGTTAAGGAGTTTATTTGAATGGCCTACAGATCGTACAGAGTATGTCTGTTTTTTATAAATTGTTATTAAATTTTAATTATTTCTTGTTTTTGCAGCCCCGTACGGATACGGTTATCGTTATCCTTTGGCTGCCGTTACTTCTTACCAACCTACTTATCAACCGGTTATGGGCAGACATGCAGTTACTCGCGTGTATGCACAGCCAATTACCATAGCACACGTGACACGGATAAATAAAATAAAACCCGGTACGACTACTCGATTAAATAATAATTTACATAACATTTTTATCACGGATTATTTAAAAGCGATGTGATATTACTTTTAGATTTTTAATAAATCAGAGGAAAAAATGGTTATGTGTTGATATATTAATCGATTTATTTGGTAATCTAAAACGATAAATTTAACTTGTTTAGGCCGTTCTAAATACATTTTGTGCACTGGCATTTTCATTTATGTACGAAATATTACAGAATTTTATATTTTAATATTTTTTTTAAAAGATCCATAATTTTAAGATAAAAAAACTAGTGCATAATTAGGATCATGTAGAAAATATGGAAAAAATTTAAATTTTAAATTTATATGCAATACATATGCATAAATGTATTTTTAAAATATTGTCAGATTTGAAATTATTGAAACATTGGTTTTTCAAATATACTATGTTCGCTGAGGCATTTGTAGGTAGTTCGAATCTTTTTGATTTTAATATTATAATTATGGCCAATTTCTTAGAGATACAATGGGAAATTATATTTTCTACTGACTTTTATTCAATTCGCTAAATACATATTTATGAAACTATCTATGCTTTGTTTCAGTGCTACCATATTACTCTCCCCTTGTGTTACCTATTATGAAATACAAGCTCCTTAAAAAGAAATCCAAACATATTAAATCACCAAAGAAAAAATATACTCGTCATGTTAGTGATAGAAAGTACGTTCTGACAACTCATGATTTCATGCCTTTGGAAACAGACAAGGATGATTTTAAACAATTAGTTTCAGAAATACTTAAAAAAAAAATTTTAAAACATCTTGCCGAAGTACTTGGATTAAAAGATGACGCCTCTAAAAATATGCTGGAGTTAATTAAGAAGCTATTAAAAAATCAAAATAACGCATCAGATGAAAGTAATGAAACAGAAAATAAAAAGGGGAAAATAAAAAATAAAAAACAACCAGAAAAATTTAAAAAAGATAATGAAGTAGATATGAATGAAGAAAAGAGCAAAGAAGATGAGGAATTTAAAGAGGATGAAAAACAGAAATTAGAAGAAGAAGAGTCTCTTAAAATAGAAAAGGAACCAAAAGAAAAGAAGAAATACAACAAAAAAGAGACACCAAAAGAAAAACCAACACAAGAAGAAAAAAAAACACCATATAATGAAATAAATTCAAATGATAAGGGTGAAATCACCAATGAAGTAGAGGAACCCGAAGAGGGTGAAAATAATGAAGATAACGAGAATGAAAATATAAACCTTGAAGATGAGCCACCAAAAGATGAAAACCCATCAAGTGCTGAAAAAGAACCAAATGATATAGAAAAAGCAGATGAATATAAATCAAATGATGAAGATAATCCAAAACCTAAAGAAGTAAACAAACCAAAAGAGAATAGAGAAGAACAGCCAGAAGGTGAAGATTATGATGAAGATGATGATGAAAATGAAGATGATGTGAAGACTCAAAATAATGAAATAAAACCAAATGATAAAAACGGAAATAATGAAGAAGATTCACAAATTCCCCCCAAAAAATGTATTAATGAAAGTTACGAGAATAAAAAATTAGAAGAAAAAGAAGAAAGTAAACCGAATAATGAAATTAATGCAAATATTGTTAAAAAACCAGAAGATAATTTTCAACTAAATGCTGAAAAGAAACCAACTGATGTAAAGACTTCAAATAATGAAAAAGAAACAAATAATAAGAATAAAAGATCTCGAGTTTCCAAAAAAGACAAAGAGGACGAAGAAGAAGAAGAAGAAGAAGAAGAAGAAGAAGAAGAAACTGTTGAAGATGACGAGAGTGAAAAAATAGATCTTAATGAAGAGCCACCAAAAGAAGAAAGTAAACTAAATAATGAAATTAATTTTAACACTTTTAAAAAACCAAAGGATGAAAACCAACCAAATGATGAAAGTCAACCAAATGCTGAAAATGAACCAACTGATGTAAAGACCCCAAATAATGAAATAAAACCAAATAATAAGGATACAAATTCACAAGTTTCCAAAAAAGACAAAGAGGACGAAGAAGAAGAAGAAGAAGAAGAAACTGTTGAAGATGACGATAGTGAAAAAATAGATCCTAATAAAGAGCCACCAAAAGAAGAAAGTAAACCAAATAATGAAATTAATTTTAACACTTTTAAAAAACCAAAGGATGAAAATCAACCAAATGATGAAAGTCAACCAAATGCTGAAAAGGAACCAACTGATGTAAAGACTCCAAATAATGAAATAAAACCAAATAATAAGGATAAAAATTCACAAGTTTCCAAAAAAGAGAAAGAGAACGAAGAAGAAGAAGAAGAAGAAGAAGAAGAAGAAGAAGAAGAAGAAGAAGAAGAAGAAGAAGAAACTGTTGAAGATGACGAGAGTGAAAAAATAGATCCTAATGAAGAGCCACCAAAAGAAGAAAGTAAACTAAATAATGAAATTAATTTTAACACTTTTAAAAAACCAAATGATGAAAACCAACCAAACGATAAAAAGAAACCAAATGATGTAAATAAATCGAATAATGAAAAAAAGTCAAATAATATAATGAAATCTAAATATGAAAGTAAACCAAAAGACAATGATGACGATGAAAATATGTCAGAAGATGATTTTGAACTTCCAGAAGGCGAAGATGAGTACGACGAAGAAGATATAGATGAGTTAAACGAGAATCCAAAAGGAAAAAAAATACAATAATGTAGAACCAAATAATAGAAAAAAATATAATATAAAAGATTCAACAAAAGGAAAAATGATATAATGACCTATAATACAAATGATAAAAAAACAGCCACCGAAACGAAAAAGTAATAACAGGTAGTGGTGATGATTTCAAAAATACTACATTGGGAATAAAATACAAAATGTAATATAAATAATATAATTTTTAAATAACCTATAAGACCATTTTTGTTCTAATAAAATAATATGATATAAAATATTATGTAGGTATATTAAACAAAATGTAGAGTACAAAAGCAAAATACTTGTAATGGCAATATTATTTTAAAATAAAAATTATCATATATAGTTAATATGTAAAGTGGTTGATTTTATTTTGCGTCAAAATTCCGATTGATTATTTTGTTTCAAACCAAACTAACAAAAATTTGATTTTTGAAATTGAAACTAACGAAAATATGTTCAAGCGTTAGAATTATTGTTTTCAATTTAATTGAAGAGAAAATATTCCAAAAAAAAAAAATTAAATTGTATTTATACAATGTGATTTATTTATGTAGGTATATTCGATATCTTGGAAAGTATTTACTTTTTAACATTTCTTTTTCGACAATTTAAAAAACACCTCTAAAATTTAACACTTTCATAATAATATTTTTCGTCACATAAATTTAATACCGTTCAACCTAAGGTAAGTAACAATATTAATAATTATTATTGTTTTGTACGCCAATAATTTATTCTATCGTATAAACTCATTATTTAACATTCCTCCCGGATTACCGACGACTAATTAGTAAAATGATTATGGCACAAAGGAGATAAACAGTTTTTTGGAAATTATTTTTGTCATTGTGTGTCAAAATAATTTTAATAATATGAGTAATACGACTAAATGTCGGACGTTAAAGATTAGGATTACGAGAGTTTATTGTCATCGTTTTCGCACGATGGGTGCAGCTATTGTTGATGGTGAGAATTTAGAAAGGTAGGATATAGAGGGAGTTATAGGGATATAGAGTGTTGTTTTATTAACAATATGTATGTCACATTAAAGTGAAATAGACATCGTATATTTCCTTTTACAATATTTGTTTAATATTTACTTTCCCAGTTTTACCATGTTTTTCCCATTTATTTTGGAAAAAAACTGGGAAAATCAAAAAATGACCTACCTAGACTAACATTCCAGGAAAATTCCTTTCTAGAAAAGATACTATACAAGATACTTTGGACCATGATTTCTGAATTTTTGTACACAGTATAAAAAAAAAAAAAGATAAAATAAACATCGTTATGAAACCAATACATTTTAGATTCTAAGTAGAGCGAAGATGCTTATAGTTTTACAGAGATGGTTTTTTTTTTTATTTTTTATACCAGAAGACCTGCTCGTACGAGCAGCACGAGTAGCACTTTTTCTGAAAGTAAATCGGCGTGGAAAGAAACTTTAAAGTATTCAATTTTTGAATTTTTTCAGGGTTTTCTCATCAAATTTGAAAATCGAAAAAAAAAACGGGAAAATTTGAGAAATTTATCGTCCCCACTAGGACGTTTTTATCACTATACTCAGTCTAAAATTGAAAATACTGATAAAAGTATTTATGCGTACCTCTTGCTTTCTAACAATACGCACTAAAAAAAATGTATATATTCATAATACGTGTAATGATAATAATACGTTCGCATGTATTATAATATTATAACAAATTATTATAATATCTCGTTTCATATAGGTACACCATAAAAAAATACAAAATTCTATACAATAATATTATGGTTTTTTTCATGAACTTTTCCATCGCAAATTTTTATAACAATATTAGTTTTTTTTTTTTAAACTATTTAAAAAATAAAATAAACTATAGGTATAATAACAGCAATTATATTAATACGTTTACCACGACCGCTCTGTTTGCTATTATATGGTTGAATGTTGTAGACTACTCACAAGTTAAACTTATCGAGTTTTACACGGACGGAACACGCGTTTTCATTATGTGGTCGAAAATAAAATTTAAATGTCTTTTCATATTTTCATGGGTTGTAATTTGCCCGTTTTATACGCATGCTTCATTTTCTACGGGTTATTATTGTAAGTAAATTAAAATTATGTGTGAATATATACTATATTATACATAAAAATAAAAATTGTTAATAAACTATTAAAAACTACGTTCAAAATCTCATAGCTCAAGCTCAATTGGAAATACTCTAGATTTATGATGATTATCTATCAGCCAGTGAGTGCCGAAAATCGTGAATTTTGGACAATTGGACCATGACAATTGTTTCATGAGATGTATGGAATTTTAAATTCTATTTGATATTCTCAACTCTCCCGAAAAAATTAAGTCTTGAAACATCGGAGTTAGTAAGAGTCGAAAAGTACTCGAAATGACTCATGTAAATATTTCACAGGTGTGCTACCAAACTGTACCAAGAAAACTGCCATGCGTTCAGATGTTATAATAGTTTTTAACACATTTTAATTGAAAAATATATACAATTATCTATCGCGCTGATTTCATTTTAAGTAGTATTTTAAGAAAACCATAGTCAGATTTCTATAATGTAGAAATTACACTTCCATAATGAAGTTAGCCAGTGAGCCATCATTCCTTTTTTTATGTAATTCAAATATCAATGACTTTCTTGGTGTCTTTTAAATAATACTATATTTGTAATTTGACCTCACCCATTTGTTTTAATAAATAAATAAAAAATGAATATTTAACTACATTTTTATAACATGACATTTACGCGAAAAGTAAAACAATTTCTCATTAAAGCTTGTTAAAGATCTTTTTTTTAAAAAATAATAAATATTTAACATTTAGAATTAAAAATGTTTAAAAATTCCAAACAATTTTTTATTGAAATTTATGAATTAATTTTTGTATTAAAATCTGTTTTTTTGCTAAAAACATAGTTAATAGAGTTAACTCCATTGTCTCATAAAGACGTCCGATTGCGATAATTTCTTTTTTTGGTAAAAATATAACAACTTCTTCAGGGCGTATAAAACTTTGAATTATGATTATGTAAAAAATATAAAAATATTGGTAATATTTAAACTTGAATTACCTATACTATTTCAAAGTATAAATTTCAATATTCAAGTCGAATGCACCTAGTCAAGTGTCTTCATTCGAATAAAAGAATAATGATCGAAATCGAATCGTTCTATGAGGCAGAAGATTTAAACCTGTAAATTATACTTTTAGACAAAAGAACTGGTCGGACGTGGTACCATTAACGATATTTTTTTCATAGCATAAAAAACACAGAGTTCCACAATGTTGGTTTAGCAAGACAAAAATACAATTTTTGGAGCCTCCAGTTAATAATTTTTAAATTATAATAAACAATAATAGCTGAATAGAAAACAAAAATTTGTGACCGGCTTCCGCATACAGGCAGGTTTTAATACAATCTGATAAAATTTACAAATGATATGATGGGAGATGGACAATCGATCGACAACTAACATACCGACAGGGACAATCGACGGACTGGACAGTTGACCGACAACTAAAATACCGACAGGGCAATTGACCGGCAATAATTTATGAACCGATGAAATTTATATTTTTATTTTAAAAATCGATAACGCAAGGATTAATTTTTGTTAACAAAAAATGATTCTGAGCGGAGTTAGGTTATACATGTTTAAAAGATAGTAGCAATTACAATTTTCGTCAAAATTTAATATTAGAATTCTTATAAAAAAAAAACTTAATACTAAATTTAACTTAGTCTTGATAGCTACTAAATACAACTTATAATGAACTTGTTAAATTACCAAGAATTTTCATTTGGCCTAATAATTTTATGCATAGAGTACCTACCGACTAAATATTACGTAGACAGCTCGTAAAATACAAATGTCCATAAATAGGTCAATAATGGCTTAATTGTTTTGAAAATTTTAGGTTTCTAACAGAATAAAATAATATATATACACGCCTGAAAAAGAAGGGGATTAAAGATTTTGGAAATTTAGATTTTCTAGATGCATTGTGTGTCTATTGAAATTTAACTTAGAAGTGATCAATAGTAATGGAAGAATGGTAAATATTTACAGCGAGCTGGGAAAATTTACGAAACATATTATATTCAGTTTAATTTTTTGTTGTGATTCATTTAAAAATATTTGTATGGACTGAAAATTTAGACAGAAAACGTATAATTGCCTTTTATATACGTGGTAAATTTATCAAAATATTTTAGCCATTTTTGAGCTATTTATAGACATTTTATTGCGAAATTTGTATGTAATTTTTATTCGATAGATACTCTATGGATAAAATTGTTAGACTAAACAAAAATGCTTGATAAATTAATAGGAGGTTCACTATAAGTTGTACTTTGTGATTTTAAAAATTGAGTGTGTAATATAAAATTGTTTTATTGATAAGAATATGGATATACAATTTTGATGAAAACGTAAATATTATGGCCTTTCAAAACATGTAAAACCGTACTTTGCTCAGATACATTTTTCGTTAGCAATTTTTAATCGTTGCGTATTGCAGATATATATTCAATTTCCTCCTTACCTACCCTATTTCTCACCTACAACAGTGGCCTACCCAAGTACGAATTATGTACGTCTTTTTTTAAATTGTCATTAAATTGTATTTATTTCTTCCTTTTTTCAGCTCCGTATGGGTACAGCTATCCTTTTGCTGCTGTTCCTTCTTATCGTCTTGCTTATCAACCGACTATGGTCAGACATGTAGTCGCTCCAGTGTATGCACAGCCAATTAATATCGCACATGTGGCACGGATAAATCAAGCAAAACCCGGTACGGCTACTCGTCTAAATAATAAATTACTTAACAATTAAATCACGAATTATTAGTAAAAGATAAAAACTAATGGTTGTATTATAGTATTGTCGATATATTTGGTAGTCTAAGATGAATTCGACTTGTTTAGGCCGTTTTATGTCAATTTTGTGCACTGTTTTTTTTATTTGTGCATAAATTATGGCTAAATTTTATCTTTTAATGATTAAAAAAAATATCTAAAAACATTTGTTCTTTCTTTAAATAGAAGATGGAAAAATAAATACGTGATAAGGGTTAAATAATATTGAACAAATTAAAATTTAACTGTTTTATTTGTGTTCAAATGTATTTTTAAAATATTATCAGATTTGAAGATGTTCAAACTTTGGTTTTTCAAGTATATCATATTCTTTTCTTTTTTTAAGTAGTTCTGATCATTTTTATTTTAATATTATAATTATGATAAGTTTATTATAGGTACAACGGTAAATATTATTTCCTATATTCCATATTTGATTCTTTAAATATATATTTTTGATAAAATATATTCTTTGTTTCAGTATTACCATATTACACTCCTCTTGTATTACCCATTTCAATAAACGACAAATCTAAACAGAAATCATCTGACAAAAAAGATACTCGTCATGTTAGTAATAGAAAATACGTTCTTACAACTCATGGATTCATTCCTTTGGAAACAGAAAAGGATAATTTAAAACAATTAGTTTCGGAAATACTAAAAAAAAATATTGTAAAACATCTTGCCGAGGGACTTGGATTAAAAGATGACGCCTCTAAAAATATGCTAGAGTTAATTAAGAAGCTATTAAAAAATCAAAATAACGCATCAGATGAAAGTGATGAAAAAGAAAATAATAAAAATAAAATAAAAAATAAAAAACAACCCATCAAAAAATCTAAAAACGATAGTGAAGTAAATACGAGTGAAGAAAACACCCAAGAAGAGGAATCCGAAGAAGATGAAAATAAGAAATCAGAAGATGAAAAGACTCCCAAAAAAGAAAAAGAACCAAAAGAAAAACCGAAACAAGAAGAAAAGAAGAGATCAAATAATGAAATAAAACCAAATGATAAGAGTGAAATCACCAACGAAGAAGAGGAATCCGAACAGGGTGAAAGTAATGAAGATGACGAGAATGAAAATATAAGCCCTAAAGAAAAGCCACCAAAAGATGAAAACCCACCAAGTGCTGAAAAAGAACCGAATGATATAGAAACACCAGATGACGAAAATAAACCGAATAATGAAGAAGAATCTCTAGAAAACGAAGATTATGATCAAGACGAAAATGATGATGGTGAAAATGTAAAAATGGATCCGAAAAAAGAGCCACCAAAAAAAGAAAGTAAACCCAAGTATGATAATCCACCTAGTAATGTAAAGATACCAAAGGACGAAAAGAAACCGAATAATGATGATAAGCCAAAACCTAAAGAAGTAAACCAACCAAAAAAGAATAGTGAAGAAGAATCACTAGAAGGCGAAGATTATGATCAAGATGAAAATGATGATCCCCAGGATGAAGATGAAGATGATGAAAATTTGGATGAGTTACTCGATGATCCAAAAGTGAAAAAAAACAACTATGTGGAACCAAATAATAAAAAAAAAAATAATGTAATAGATCCACCAAAAGGAAAAAGTAACTCAATTGATACAAGACAGCCACCAAAAGGAAAAAGTAATAATAAGTAGTTTGCATGGTTTAAAAAATACCATAAACAAAGAGAATAACATGCAAAATATAATATAAATAATAAAATTTATAAAAAAATATGATATAAAATATTAGGTACCTATATTATAAAACCAAATGTTGAGTACTTACTTAATAATGACAATATTATTTTAAAAATGTATAAAAATATGTTTAAGTATTAGAGATATTGATTTCAATTCAATTAAAGAGGAAATATTTCAAAAACCAACTATATTATTATCTTTTACAACCAGTGAATATTAGTAATATATATTGGGTTTTCCAATTAGAACGGGCCGATCTTATCTGCGCTGTGTAGCCTTATCGTTTTGTT